AGGTTAGTTGAACGGATCTCGATGTTTGGCATAGACGTAGAAGATAATCGTTTATTTGTCATTTTATGTTAAAAATAAGTACCAGGATTACATACCTAAACAAAGGTATAGAGAATTCATCTCTACCGAACACGGAGAACAAACAAAACGGGATGAAAAAGACTATATAAGAGTCTAGACCGTGGTCGAACATCTCCCCTAGTGGACCGGACACGCCGATCCGACGCGCTTGCTTACCGTCTATGCCATCTGTAATAGACCAATAAGAGTTTGCGCATATCGTTAACTCAACTTTTTCTTAATAAAAATACTAGCTGTTCCCGTGGGACTTAACTATTATTAACAGATATCTTACCTAAGTTGTAAGCTAGGAATATTAACACAGCACTGATCGTGTACATGTAATTAGGGATATCATAGTCCTGTTGTCCTGGACCTCCAGCTGCTACCCAATGGTAGTCATACCACGAGGTCAACAGAGCGACAACCACTACGCAGACGAAACCGAGGAACGTGAGCAGGTTTGGTGCTAACCATCTAGGTATAACCTGGAAATATATAAAACCTGAATGATGGATTAACAGTTAAGTAGTTTAAGATACCATTTTATAGACTACTAGCTTTAGCCCGCGACTCTAAAAGCGACTAAAAAAAAGTAAGTAGCCTATGTGTTCTTATCTTAAAGTAAGTAGCCTATCTCTTCTTAGCCTAAACTGCTGAATGGATTACGATGAAATTTGGTATAGATGTAGAGAATAGTCTGGAAGAACACATAGGCTACTTGCTTCTGTTTTTTTTTAATTCCACGCGGACGGAGTCGCGGGCGAAATCTATTTCTATATATTGTTAAAAATTAAGGAATTAGGTTTAAAAATACCTTGACAGTCGCGTTCCAAAGTGGATGCATCACATAATTGCTGAGAGGGCTCGTATCGATCGCTCTGTACTGGAAAAAAATAATATAGTAATTAAAATAACAAAAGATAATTTAAAAGTAATAACCTTAATCTGGGTTGCTGAGGTTTTAACCGATTTTGTCATTAAAATATTAACTTCCCTACCTTATCCAACTCCCGTAGGGTCAGCGCACCGGGTTTTCGTATCCCAAATTACTCTATCATCCGTCATCTCAGTAATTTAAGCAATTCATCCATCTCTTTCTAGTTCTACCTGTACCTGTGTACCTCCACATTCGTAACTAACGCCCTTCTTGTAACAGGCGATTCATCCCTCCTC